TCCCCATGAGAGGCTCCACCGTCGTTGCCCGTCAGCCTGGGTGTTTTCAGGCTGACCCTCTGACAGTTCTTCTGACAGTTTCTCCTTCGGGTCTGAGAACATGAATGGGACTTTTCTCCCTTCCCCCATCTCTTCTCTTCTCTTTCCAGGCTTCCAGATCCAGATTCCCAGGAAGGGATCTCTCAAAGCGCCAGTCCCGCCAAGGAGTCTCTCTAAAAGGGAAGGAATTCAGAGAGAACTTTGAGCACCTCCTTCTGCTCTTCTGCCCCATAGCTTCCCGCATGGGCACCAACCTTGAAAACGCCCTCGAGGGACTGAGTGGTAAGTAGAAGATACCAACAGGGTTGAACCATCCTGTCCCTCCGTGGCTGTCGGAACATAAGCAGATTCCTGGGCCACCTTGAGGATGAATACCTACCAATTTTCTCCTCCTTGATCGAAAAAGGGGTCTTGACATCTTAAAATATATACAGATGCAATTTTTTTTTCATATTTATTAAGTGCATTGTATGAATTATATGTGCATTATTTATTAATGGAGAGTTCTACGTGCAAAATAGAAGTGTTTTTTTCCCTTCCCAATAAAAAAAGTGAACAAGGTTTCTCATAATGTCCCAGGGACAAGCCTTTGAAATGTATCACTCTGCCCTCCCAAGAAACACAGCAGGGAACATTTAGATCACCCTTTAGATGTATTTTCTGGAGTGCAGCCCAGCCTTCCTGAAGGAAGGGAACATGCCATTCTGAGCTGCAGATGTAGTTGGTAGTTGATTGGAGGATGAGGGGAAAACACAGTGAGACAGGAGGTGGTGAAACAAAGAAGAAAAGGACTGGATACCCAGGGACTGATGGCCGAGAGCCATTTGTTCTCTTGCCATAAAGGAAGCTGATTAACGCACCCTGTGTGTGATGGGGGGTGCGTCACTCTGCCTGATTTATGCTGCTGGAGATGCAATTTTTTTTTGACCCAACTCCGGAGGCCATGGAAGACGGGAGGACCTGGCGTGCTCTGGTCCATAAAGGGGTCACGAAGAGTCGGACACGACTAAACGACTAAACGACAACAAAGATGCAATTTTTGGCCCAGTGGCCCAGAAACCACTGGTAATGGTGTGGCTAAAAAAATACTGCAAATAAATAAATAAATAAATAAATAAATAAATAAATAAATAAATAAAGAAATAAAGAAAGAAAGAAAGAAAGAAAGAAAGAAAGAAAGAAAGAAAGAAAGAAAGAAAGAAAGAAAGAAACTCAGACCTTTTAAAACAAGCTTTGGCCTGCTTGCCCACCCCACGTGCAGGCAGAGTAGGTGGCTTGTGATGATCACAACAGGTAGGCCCTGATGATGATCCACAGGGCCAGAAAGTGAAAAAGCAAGGTGTGCTATTCCGTATCACTCCATGGTGCTTAAAGCTCTCTCAGGCCATTTACCATTTAATTACACAAACTACCCATTGTGCCCCCCCCCCGCAGCAAGCTGCATACTAACTCTATTCACCTCAGAAGGCTAGAAGGCTGATAGAACTTTGAGCTGACGAGGTGGGACTGAACCTAGATCAGGAGCAGAGTTTTGGCTGCTGTAGTGCAGTGTGACCACGGTGCCACGAGGCTGCAGAAGGATTAACAAGACAGTTGTGTCCGACCCAGTGACTCAAAGGGCAGTAATAGAAGAGAGAGTGGAGCCCCAGGCCCTTTTGCAGAAGAGAAGCAGGGTCTGCTCCATGCCTGGCCAGCCCCCTGATTTTATGTTATTTATTAGAGCTGGACACCCACCCCCCAATGTTGGTTCCCCCTTCTCTTTCATCCACTGAAAAAAGCATGTCAGCCTTGAAAATGGCACAGGCTGTTTTGGGTGGCCTCCCCTCCTCTACGGTTCTACCTATCCACCCACCTTGTTGGGTGGGTTCCTCTTGTCTACCTATCCACCCACCCACCTTGTTGGGTGGGTTCCTCTTGCATTCCCCCCCCCGGCAAAGGACTTTGAAGCTTTCCCTTGGGGGTAATTCATCCCCTTGTTCTCATGAGAGGACCGAAAGGCTCAGGGGCCCAGGGCCTCCCATTCCTGAGCAGGAGTGACTTCCTGGACAACAGTTCCAAAAATGCCAGCCTCGAGGGTTCCCCCTGCCCCCCTTCTCTCTCCCCTCCCTCCAGGCGTGGTCCCCTGGCTGCTCCTCTCCTTCCTCTCCCAGGTGAGCAGGAGGTCCTCCTGGTGGTGATGCACTTGATCCCAAAGGCCAATGCAGGAACCTCCGTGGATGCCTCGTGGCAGGGGAGGCCCCCAGCCCTGGTGCGGACCGTGCACAACTGCTTCACCCTCCACGAGGACTCCTACCCTTGCGAGATGAACACGGCAGCCACCGTGGCAGCTGCCATCAAGGAGATGGCTGGGTTCTTGCATCAGGCTGGGAGGCGTGCGCGCACGCACGCACGCATGCACGCACACACACACACACACACACACACACTCTCTCTCTCTGGAGAGAGAGAAAAGGAAACATGATGAGGGGGGGCGGTATTGCACTCACAAGAGGACCAGTTGCGGCCAGGGAGACATGAAACATCCATGTTCCACGGGGCATGGGAAGACCGGCCTGCAACCTCAGGCTGGCTGGCCAGAGCTGGCCTGACAGTGACCTGGCATCTGGTTGTGTGTGTGGCATGGAAGGGGGCTGCGTTTACAGGGTGGGCAGGTTTTTCGATTTCTTTCCCTGCATTACAGGCCCAGTGGGTGATTCACAACAGAAAGGAGGGGGTTGCAGAATATAGACTCATAAGTGATGAAAGAGAAATTATGCCAAGGGAGTACATGCTTTTAACAAACCTGATTCGCCAAACACCTTTTTCATTGAGTTTTTTAAATTGTTCAATGTGCAATGTTTTAGAAAGTATTAAAGGAGCAGTGAGTTGGATGGCTTTGTGGTGGGGGAGAAGGTGAGGGTGGCACCATCAGGGGTGGGATCCCACCACCACCTCCAGATCATGAAGCACCTCTGCGAGACACTTTGAAATGAATCCCAACCAAATGAGAGGGAGAGGGAGAGAGAGAAAAGGAAACATGACCAAACACAACCCCTGTGTTGCCCTGGCACGCAATCTGAACGGAAGGGCAGGCGATGGCACGGAGCGGATTGGCAAGACCGGGTCCCACACACACTTCTTGCAAGAGTTCACAATCCATCCCCTGAAGAGACCTCCAGCTTGGAATGGGAGGGGAGGGAGAGAGAGCAGAAGGGAGCACCTGCTAAACATTTTGCACCTGGGGTGACTGCCCAGGAGGTCCCCCCAGGCTAGGCCTACTGGGTGTAAGCCAGTTTGACCACATCTGACCCATCTGGGCTGGCCTGGACTGCTCACCTGGTGGATCCTGGGTCGGATTCAAGGTTCTGAGGATCGCCTACGGAAACCCTTCCTGGTATTGGGACCCAGTCCCTCTTGGGAGTGCCTTTCCCCATGGTCACCTGCCTGCCCCACCTGGTCCTCCCAGGTGCGGCTCCTCTGGATGCCAGGCCAAACGAGGGGAGGAAGTCGTGCACCAGAAGCGGGGCCTTCCCTGCCATGGTGCAAAGGTGGTCCCTTTGGAAACCACAGGCAGTGGAGCTGCGCCAGACCCCCTGCCTCCCCACATTTAAAAACCATTTCAAAGCACTTCTTTACACAGAGGATCCCTCCCTTTTTTTTTAGCAAGGCTTTTTTTCCTGCTGCTTTGTTTGTTAGACCCCTCTCATTCCACATTTTATTTTGTAGGTTACGCCTCTTGGGAGTTTTCTGTTTGAGTGCCTTTTGCTCGTTTTAATCTAAGTCTATTGTGTTTTCATCCTGTTGTAAACCACCCTGAGTTGTGTGTGGCAGCCTATCCACCCAATAAATAAATAAATAAATAAATAAATAAGTAAGTAAGTAAGTAAGTAAGTAAGTAAGTAACTGTAACTAAGTAACTAAGTAAGTAACTAAGTAAGTAAGTAAACTTTGCTCCATTTAATTCAAACACTGACCAGAAGAACTTTTAAAAGATCCTGGCTTTCCCAGCCATCGGAGTAAGGCAGCTGCACTTTCTAGTCTTTCGTTTGTTCCACCACCTTGCCTTTTAAATTATGTTATGTTCGTTGGTTTTATTTACTGTGTATGTTTGTCGTTTTGATTTTGTATAATTATGTACTCTATCATTTGCTGAATGTTGTAACTTCTGATGTTTTTATAGTTTATGTGTTCTTGTCCCGTTGAGCGTAAACCCGGAGTAAGGCAGCTGCACTTTCTAGTCTTTCGTTTGTTCCACCACCTTGCCTTTTAAATTATGTTATGTTCGTTGGTTTTATTTACTGTGTATGTTTGTCGTTTTGATTTTGTATAATTATGTACTCTATCATTTGCTGAATGTTGTAACTTCTGATGTTTTTATAGTTTATGTGTTCTTGTCCCGTTGAGCGTAAACCGCTCAGAGTGGAGTGG